TGCAAACTCCACAAGAAGTGAACCACTACGAAGACGGGTGACATTCCTCATTTCGGAACAAAAACCGGGTACAGCCTTTGAAATGGCAAACGGATTTAATTTGATTGGCTGGAAATCTGCAGTTTGAAGAGCTCTTAGCGTTACCCAGCACCCAACACGAGGAGGTGGCTCTTCACGGGTGCCCAGAGTCAGTATAATGTGTCTGGGTGGGGTATTCATGCCTAACTGCGGCATGAACAGTAAACAACTAGTGTATCACAGATAGAGATATACAACTAGCATGTAACTAAAAGTTTTACTATAATGCAAGACAAAATAATATAAAAACGGGCTATAGATCACCAGCAACTGAAGGTAGATCACCATACTAGGGACCATGGTGACTTAGTGTTTTTGCTACCTGCATAGACCCTAGTGGGATTTACACCAGCCCTTCCTTCAGCCGTGGCTGACTGTAGGAAAATTTAGCCGAAATTTAAAATAACAAAAATATTACGTTTAATTATTTGGTAAGTTCATGAAGTTACTTTGAAAGTTTTGGAACTTACGTACCCTCTTCGGAGGACAATAATTTTACGATATTTCAACCCCTTTTGACTGTACAGCCACTAACAATCACAGTTGCTAATTTATACTACCATGTTTAATATGCCATTTATTTATTTATTTATTTATTGACAAAACATAATATTGAAAATTTATCTAATAATTCTAATTCCTTTAAAATCATTTATTAAATGATAATAAACATTATAAAAAGATCCTTAATTGTTGTGACATTGAAATATTTATCCCTTGTGTAAGGTGAATTCGATGCAGTTAAAGTTGATGTGCTAACATCACTTGCGGTCGGAGTACAAATAATATGGACATATACAGGCTGAATTTGTTTGCAAACATCTGTGCCCTTTGGCCTGTTTCATGCTTACCAATATCTCATATATATATCAGCTGTCGCTAAACATTTCTTTGCTTAAGGTGGAGACAAAACAGTTATTGGTTCTGAAGCATCCAGTGAGATCTTAGATTTGCTAACAAAATATTTTCTGACGTTTTTGCATTATTTTCGGTGACGACCGCAATTTATGAGTATATATTTTGCTGAATCACTCAAATTTACCTCTATTCGATATCAAAGATCTCATCAGGTCACGTGTTTTGTCATCATGGATAGGAATCAGATTAGCACCTGCTGAGGCACATTCCTGTTGAGCGTCCGTCCATTCTTTTGTCTCAGTGTAGTACTTATAGCTGGCCAAACAGTCTTGAGAAGTCATATCCATTGTCTGCTTTGCAACCACGGGCTGTACATGATATGGCACCTTGTTAGGTGTGTACATGTAAATAAATCTAACAAAAATTTAACAGAAAAATATTTCATGAAACCGTCAAGGAACTTGTGTTTTTCGATTTGGCACAAATTATAATCCAAAATACACAATATTATCTCGAACAGTGAAATGGCTGCTTCTGAAATGAATGATTCGATATTGGTTATGCACTCATCATGCTACGTGGTGGAAAGGAACTTCATTGGACTTCTTCACGACATTATGAACCCCTTTATTATTTAATGTCCTAACTGTTTCATGATTCATGCATGCTTTAACATGAATTGCAGCTGGGTAATGACGTGTTAACCCGAGGAAAAGTGGCCAAAAGAGAGGATAGTACTTGTAAAATACCCGTGAAGGTCCGGATTAGAATATTGATCTTCAGTAACCCATGCTTGTCGTAAGAGGCGACTAACGGGATCGGGTGGTCAGGCTCGCTGACTTGGTTGACACATGTCATCGGTTCCCAATTGCGTTGATCGATGCTCATGCTGTTGATCACTGAATTGTCTAGTCCAGGCTCGAATACTTTCAGACCGCTGCCATATAGCTGGAATATTGTTGAGTGTGGCGTAAAACTAAACTAACTCCCTCAAATTATTGCAAGGTGATCACGGTACTCGGTGATTGTTCTGTTTCACGTTAGTTTCACGCTTAGATTCACAGATTACCCTGTGGTTTAACCGAATCCGCGGTATCGCAAAGAGCGTTATTGCGAGGGATGACTGTAATACATTTCTATAGCAGCTGTATACAGTGCTGATGATACAAAATTAGAGATGATGTCGTTGAGTGCTCTGGTCTTTTTTGCGAATTCATTGTTTGCAGATGGGAAGATAGTATACTCAGTTGATTGATGGCGTCTGGTGTGGAAACAGTATGCTTTTGTTAATTATCTTTCGTTGAAGTCATGGGGTACGAAGCGTAGAAGGGCCGCCGTGAAACATATTTTGGTCTTACTATCTCCTACGTAGGACGTGGGAGGTATTTACTTTTCGAATCGGGATAGTGAGTGACGCTTAATGTCGTAATTACGATCGTTAACATGCGTATGGAGTTGTTATCGCCAATCGTAGCAACTGAATTATTGCAGAAAAGGTTCCTATTTTAGGTTCGTATCATGAAGTATTGGTATTAAGTTGAGAAATGTTTGGCTATGCAGGACGTTCAATGGTAGAAATGTGAGTCAGTGAATATTCGTGACACAAACGCAGTGTTACTATACAATTAGTTCCACACATGACTTTAATAGTGAATGAAACACATGGAAGTAGACTCTAATAGTGAATGAAACTCAAGACAGTACATTGTAATAGTGAATGAAACACAAGACAGTAGACTAATAGTGAATGAAAAAGGGAAACAGGAGGTACTAAGATAGCAAGTCATACGTAGGACATAGTATGTCGTTCGTTGTAAAATATTTACATTAAATTTGGAAATATTTCGGTCTGTGAAACCCAAGAGAAACAAAAATAAAATCAGTAGAAATAATCATTACTCATCAACACATGCAAGTTTCCCAGTATCTTTGAACTTTGATTGCATTGAGGACCATCCATTGATTTTACATTGAATATGTCGATATGATTCATATAACTGTAATGCATTCTCGTGATATTTAGGGCTCCTTGCTGCATTAAATTACCTTGTCGAAGGATACTTTCAACCCAAATTTCTCACAAAATTTAATATTTCCAGCACCTGAAACATCTTTTGCTGATGAAATAGCTGAATCTTGTCATAGAAACAGAAATAGTTGTTACTAATTTTGTTAGTCCTAATTCAAGAATCAATTAACGAACATCATTTGGACTGTAGTGGTACGGTAATGAAATTCACCTGGAAATGGCATTAGAATTTTGCGTTGATTTTACATCAGGTGAACCACCAAAGTGAAGGCAGTAAATGAATCTTACGTGCACGGACGTTCTATATGTAATTCGATTGGGTCCTTTGTAGTTGTTGTATTAGATCACTGGAATCATTTGTTTCGTTATTTGAGATAGACCTACTCTTCAATTCATGTATTGTGAATCACATTAAACTTTTCACCTTTTTCAGCTAAGGCTACCAAATCTTCTGTTTTTCTTGTCAGTTTGATCAACAGGTTCTTCTGCCTTGAGATCCCCGTTTTACACGAGACATCAAATGATATTCTTAGATCCAGATCCAGATCCAGGAATGCAAGCTTTGCAATAAACTGATCTATTTTTACAGAACGTCTAGTACTTTCAGTTAAAAACGTTTTCAGCCAGCACCATAATCTGCTGGGGATGTCATACATTCAGTTAAAACAAATGAATGATTTGCAATTAAACATGCAACCATTATTCTTCAAATTTCTCATAAAGCCAACAACTGTTTCCAAAGCCATAAGTGGCATTATCCAAACCATACCACACAAGCCTTCGTATCTAACCCTTGACCATAAGAATTCAAAGTTAATTACTGAAGCATTTCTCATTACTGATAGTGATATGATCCATATTAACTATAGCCTTTACTACTTTAGACATCAACGTGACAGGTACAAAAGGCTAGATTGTATTAAAGCTAAAGAGCCCTACATCGCTGCTATATTTAAAAATAGTTTTATGCTATAGTGCTGCAGGTATTTGCAATAAGTTCTTGCAATAACGAAAATCTTTGGTTAAGATTGATAATAGATTTGTCAATGTATAATTATTTAAAGCTTTTTAACATTTTCAGATATATTTATACATTAATAGTTTTGTCCCTCCGTAATGACGTTGGACACAGACCCTTAAATCAGAAGAGTGTAAATAACCAAATGGTCATTATGTTGTATCGAATATTGGTTATGTGGAATGGTACACGTATATTTTGCAAACTATATGGCATTGGATAGATGTTTTCAAATTATTCTTGTGTATTTTGTTTTCAGACACATTCTTGCTAAGGTATACACATAACAGGAATGTGATGACAGTAATATCTTTCTTAACAGTAATGAGGTTTGTTTTGTGAATTGGTTTTGAATCTCTAAGACCAGGACCATTGCTGGTGAGGTAACCAAATATCCATTAAAACCTATGTTATCATTTGAATACAAAGGTAGAGGAACACATGTCCATTATGTCTGTTTTAGTACACATGGAAAACATCCTATCTGTGTCGTTTTACCTGGGTTCGCACCAGTGACATAGTATGCAATTAGTCTATGTTTCGTGATTATGTTTCGTGAATGCAATATTTAGCCATTAAAACACTTTGTAAGGATGTTCAGATTTGGTTCGTGAGCACATATTTTCAAATATTAATCGTGTTTGGTCAACTGAGTAAATCGCCAGTTAGGCCACACCCTATTTCACGGGTTTGCGCTCGTTAACAGTGTCCGATAGTTTATCAAATGAAATCAGTTTCTATTATCTTATTAAACATGATACAAGTTACAAATGATTTTTCAATCAACTTAAACCAATTCTAAAAAATATATAAATTATATATCAAATGGCATAGCACTATTTTTCGACATCAGGATGAATCAGATATTTACGAAATATATATGGAATCCCTTCGGGGCACTGTTTGCAATACTATAATTTGCCAGTTGGCCATCAGGGCCTTCTGCCGCTTGAAGGCTTTCAAATCTACAGGCCCTGAATGAAATCTGCAGGCCCATTTTGTTAAAGTCAAACAAAAGGACAAAACAAAATAGACTACACTGTACACAATTTCACACTGTTTCTACAAGATCAGTTTATGGCGCAGAGCGAACTTGACATCCTTATAACAAGTGCTGAAATACCAAGAACTGAAACTGTACGTTATCGTAACATGATGGATCATGGATGATTGCAGAACGTTAATAAAGAAAAAAAATATGGGAAAGATTTCAGTTGAAAAAAAGTGACAGGTAATTTACTGAAGGCCACAAGGGCCTGCAAATATTTGAAACTGTCGGCCCGATACAATAACAACCGGCGCTGGGTCTCCGGGCCGGCGATTATTTCGAACGCTGCACTCACTCACTCACTCATGAACTTCCACTGAATCTTTTAAAGAGGAGAAAACATGATACGATAAGTTGAACATTGTTAAGCAATAAATTACACTGCCATGTATCCAAATACACATATGCACTGACAGAAACACACATATGAGTCGCTGAAGATGTGATATGTGTCCGACAGTCCACCAACTCTTCACAGCAGTCTGTATTTACAAACAAACCGATACTTGTTGTTGCACCTGACGTCATCCCAACCTCCACTTCTGTGCGGATTGTAACTTACACAGTTACTAACTCTGGAAGCTAATGGTTCTCCTGGGTTCCAATAGTTGGATGTCAAGGCCGAGCCATCTGCCCAGACCCAGGACTGTTCCGAGGCAATGTCATTCAGTCCAATCCATATGACTGAAAACCAAAGTAAAAAGTGAATCAATCTTTCTACAGGATATGTGTCCACGTGTTGTGTAACGCCAGACTGGCCTATGACAACGATTATGAACCGATTTTGACACTATTAAGCAATTCACTGACCATTCACAAGTATATTCCAATACGTCTATTAGAAGCAAAGGTTGTTGGGAAACCTACTGCCAGGATATCGAAGAATTCCCGATTCTGAGAGCAACATGATGTTAGAAACGGACTCGGGATTCGAATCTGAATATTTTTTTCACATTCGGGATTCGAATCCCGAATATGTTTTTTTTCCAAATTCGGTACGTTTGCAGATTCCACACTCGGCATTCGGTATTTGAACCATCATATGTCATCACCTTTCTAATGTACTAGGTGCTCGTTGTAAAAAATATAAACATCCAAACTTCAGTTTTCGATATTTGGACCTCAAATCTGAGTTTCTTTAAACATTCGGGTTTTGGGATTTGAATCCCGAATCTGAATATTTTTAATATTCGGCATTTTTGCGACATTCGGCATTCGGTATATGAACTCTTATTATGCATTTCCTTTACATATTTGGAATTCGGAACTTCAGTGTCCTTGTAACTACACTCTTTGCACCTTCATCTGTCAAACTTATCTATCTTTGACGTTGCCGTGCACCCTCGGAGATAGTGAACGGTCCTGAAGCTCTTCCGTGCTTGTATGCATGAGTTCTCGTTGAAGATGGAAGAAAGACCAACAAAGTCAATAATTTGAAACACACTTTTATTGAGGGCAATAGTGTATCAATAGCTATGTGAGATCATAGGGGAAATAAACCAGAAGGAAATCTGTTTGTTTGTTTCGTAATTCTGATAATTGTATTACACATTCTTTCTTACTGCTCATGAGAAAATTTGAGATTGACACGTTTGAAGGCAATAATGCATCAAAAACTAGCTGAAGACAAAGGGTAAATTAAGCAAGGTTTGTTTGTTTTGTAATTGTGGTAATTATATTAAACATTCCTCCTTTCTGATAACTGGATTGACTCATTTGAGAACGGAGCTCATCTAGAAACAGTATATAATAACACCCGCACCTCAGAAAGGTTCATATCCAAAATGGAGTCTGAGAGAGAGTTGCGTTTCATACGTCACCTGTATGAATTGTACAACACCAACAAGCGAGTATTGATTTCAAGAGATGAATATCAAACGACCATAAATGAATTGCTGGAAGCTGAAACATCAACAAAGAAGTCTTCCCAACAGTGTTATCTGCTCAAGAAGTATGCAGTCCTTCAATGGGGTGATGTGAAGAAGTTGATTAGGAAGAAAGAAAAACATAAAGATCCTGTATATTTCGTCTCCATTTGAGACACTTTTGGCATCATCCAGAGAGCCCATACTCCAACAGGGCATGGTGGTAGAGACAATATGCTTAAGAACGTTACCAAGAAGTATGCCAACATCACGCATGAATCCCTGAGTTTTTTTCAAGTCTTCCTGCATCCAATACCCACAGAAAAGGAAAAGGACAACTACCAAGGGCGTTGTTGTTCGCCCGATCATCTCCCAAGGACTTCATGAGCACAAGTCGATTTGACAGACATGCAATCCATGTGTCAAATGGATTATGCATTATCATTACCATCTCACTGAGTTCTGTTCCTGTTCATTGGTGCACCAGCAATCTTACAGAGTGACAATGGTTCAGAATTTACTGCTGCTGTCATTGAGGAGGTGTCACAGATGTGGCCTAGCACCAAGATTATACACGGTAAACCACGTCACCCCAAATCCCAAGGTTTCATTGAGCATGTCAGCTGTGATGTGAAGGACATGTTAACATCCTGGATGTCTGACAACAATACTACTGATTGGCCCATGGGACTCAAGTTTGTTCAGTTCGAGCTCACACAGCGGAATCAAGCAGACACCATTTGCTGCCTTTACTGGATCGGATGCACCAACTGGACTAAATTTCTCCAAGCTCCCAGATGAGGTCATTTCAACACTGAAGACGGAAGAAGATCTCATCAATGCCACCATCGCCATGACACATCCTTCAGACCAGCCAGCAGCACCAGATGCGCCACCAGTTACTGTAGCTGTTTCAGATCCCTTATCAGGAGCAGCCATGCCAGATCCAAATCCACCTGTTGTAGCAGATATGCCAGTACCAGATCCACTTGTTGTAGCCGCCGTTCCAGATCTGCCATCATCAGCAAAACTCCTTGCTGCAAAAAGACGTCAGTAGATCAGTATCCAGAGGAAGAGGGCAGTAGACTCTCAGTTGCAACAAGCCGAGAGAATGGTGAAAAGAAGTAAAGTTGTTCTGCCTGAAGTTCAAGTTGGTGACAACATTACAGTTCCCATCCCATCCGTGGACAGAGGTAGAGGTGATCCCTGTAACTTGATTGGTGTGATTACTGACATTAATGACATTGGAATTAAAAAACGAAGAAACAAATTTCCCCCTTGGCTTAATTCCCCTTTGATCTCAGATAGCTTTTTAATGCACTATTGCCCTCAATAAAAGTGTGTTTCAAATTATTGACTTTGTTTTTCGTTCTTCCATCTTCAACGAGAGCTCATGCATACAAGCACGGAAGAGCTTCAGGACCGTTCACTATCTCCGAGGGTGCACGGCAGCATCGAGGATAGATAAGTGTGACAGATGAAGGTGCAAAGAGTATAGTTACAAGGACGCTGATGTTCCGAATTCCAAATGTGTTGATAACCGTGAAGGTCCGGGTTAGAATGAGCCTTCAGGAACCCATGCTTGTCGTAAGAGGCGACTAACGGGATCGGGTGGTCAGGCTCGCTGGCTTGGTTGACACGTGTCATCGGTTCCCCATTAGGCAGATTGATGCTCATGCTGTTGATCACTGGATTGTCTGGTCCAGACTCGATTATTCACAGACCGCCGCCATATAGCTGGAATATTCCTGTGTGCCTGTTTTTCTGTCTTTAAGTGAACATATGTTGTAGCAGATAGATTGCTAGACTAACAGCTAGTCTCTGAAATTAACACATTTTACAGAAAATAAAAGTTTTTAAATTAAGATTGTAAATACAATAAAAGGAGCCAAGGGACCTTCTTCAAGCTGTGGAAATCTTGCCACATTTTCTAGACTTGCGTGTGCTTTCTTGGATATATTTGCTTCAGGGTCTGTACGACAGACTAATAGATTGCTTGAGCACGTATTAGACCGATGTTCATGCTGTTGATCACTGGATTGTCTGGTCCAGACTCGATTATTCACAGACCGCCGCCATATAGCTGGAATATTGCTGAGTGCGGCGTAAAACTAAACTCACTCACTCACTGCATGAAATGCATAATAAGAGTTCAAATACCGAATGCCCAATGCCGAATGCCGAATGTGCAAAAGTAATACACCCGATTGTGAAAAAAATTCAGATTCGTGATTCGAATCCCCAATCCGTTTCTAACTTCATGTTCGCGATTCTGAGTGGTAAAAAACAGGTGAACTTTGCCCAATTGATGTCTTTCAAACCGAACTGTATCACACAAAACACCCATCTCTCGTCAGCCAAGGCTCATATGCATAAACAATGCTTGTCGATGAAATGTTGAATGATCGATATATTTAAGATGAAAGAAAACACTAAAGTGACGATATCTGTTTCAGAAAGCAGAAAGCATGTGTTTGGGCGCATGGAGTCTACCTCGTGTGGTCGTCTAAACCAAAGCACGACAATACTGCAGGGTGTTGTCGTTGGCAGCCAGTAAATCAAAAATAGACTCAAGAAAAATAGGCAAGGGCACCAGTTAAGTTCTATTACACGTCACCCTGAGGTGATTCAAATCGCTACCATTGGTTTGTATTACAAAGGGGTAAGCGCTGTAGTTGGATAAGTGAAAAAAATGCACGTGCGGTAGATGAGCGTTATTTTAGACCAAACCTACTTGTTCTCGGTGTTTCATTTAATGTGCATTCCCCCTTGTAATACAAACCTATAATAGCGATTTGAAACTATAATAGTTTGTTAAACAACTTTTATCCTAAGTTGAATAAAATTCTGAGATTTAAACGTTCAGTTGGCAAGGTAAAATTATAAGGATTCGCAGTTTCAATTTCACTTTATTCGATTTACTTTTTTGTTTAAAGTGAAATTCATTCGGCTAAACGAGAGTTTAGGGAGACAAAGAACCATTATAAGTTTTCATTTTCTGATACATTTTCTAACGTTTTCTCATTAGTTTTGGTGTTCAGTATAACATAACGACCGTCATTTATGAGTATATATTTTGCTGAATCACTAAGACTTACCTCCATTCGATATCAATGATCTCATCAGGTCACGTGTTTTGTCATCATGGATAGGAATCAGATTAGCACCTGCTGAGGCACATTCCTGTTGGGCGTCCGTCCATTCTTTTGTCTCAGTGTAGTACTTATAGCACTGGCCAGATAGTCTTGAGAAGTCATATCCATTGTCTGCTTTGCAACCACGGGCTGTACATATGTACAAGTAAACACGTCTAATAATACCATAGGAAATGTTAAAATGAAACCATCTAGGGACTCGTGTTTTTCGATTTGACACAAAATATTTTCCTCCTTTCACAAAGTAAAGAAGATTTTTCGAAAAGTAAAATGACTACTTCTGAAATGAATAATTTATTATTGAATTCATGCTCTCTCCAACATTAGACGTAAGTTGTAGCTGTGTAATGACGAGTTTAAGCCGCAGAATAATTCTCGAAAGAGATGATAGTGGAATTATTACATGTGAAACCTATTGAGAGTGGGAGAGTACAGTTTCACGTCGGATTATGCAAACTTCCAGCAGTAGCGTCACGCATAGTACCCATGTGGGGAATCGAACCCGGATTTTCGGCTTGACAAACTGATGGATGCTCTTGCTACTTGTGGCAGATATACCTTTGTACATTTATTATTTTAATGGATTTTATTATTTTAATGTTTTCTATTCTGTATATATATAGACCAACTCAAGCCATGACGTGATCAACTGATTGGCCAAGCTAACCCTCCAAGTTAAACCCTTTGTCTAATAGCTTGCACTCAGTCTGCACAAAGTCACTCCATAGAGAAGTTGACAGGGACTGTTCAAATCAGATATATTCTGGAAATATTGCTGTGCTGGTCGACACCCCAGTCTCATCCACAGGGGTGAATTATCGACTAATAAATGCTCCTTCGGGCAATAGCTCACACCCGTAGCGTGTGTTTGTAGTTTGTTGCATTCACTGCCCTGCTACAAATGGAGCCCCCAGTGAGGATATTGCCACCACGGATGACATAGATTGAATGCCAGGAACATCCTGTGAATATTCCTGGAATATGAACACCTGTTTCTGATGACTTTTGACATTGTCTAGTCTGGTAGGATGGGTACAGAATTCAAGTCCCGTGGAAGTTTTGTGATGAAAGCAAGACATTGTGTTTTTTGTATTCATCAGACATGCTAGTTAAATAAAAAGTTTGGTTCCAAGCTGAAATATGGTGCAAATAGTACTTTTGAGCACTGTACAAAGTGGTTGTGGAAAAGGTTGCTAAAAGGTCAGAAGGTCATAATGGGAGAGTTGAATATTTAAAGTTTGAGGTTATTAACTTTATCCAAGTGTGTTTCTCTATTTCATGAAATATTTTATTAAAAGAAAACCCCAAAATATATTTTTTAAATAAAAAAAAATATATAATGAACACTCCCTCTCTCAAAATGGCAGCTAGCAGACGAATTTAAGCAGATGTAGGTTTTGTGCATTATGTAAGTATATGATTGCTTCATTTCATCAACTCAATGTAAATCAAGTTATTAAAGAAAAGTTATGTATGAAACAAAAAAGAGATGTTTATTTTTGTTTGGTGAGACTGTCAGTAAAGGGAGCAGTCCTTATTTCAAAATGTAGTATGTCAATATCAGATTATGATTTATCAATTTCTTATTATTACGCTTGAGGTTTTCTTCTAAAAGCAGAGTTCTTTGAAAATAGATAAGAATATAATGAAATGATGGGGAGAAAACACTATTTTCTGCTTCACACTCTCTCAATTAAATCCCTTGAAATAATTTTCAAGTCATCAGATCGAATAACTTTCTAAAATGGTTATAATCTTTCAAAAAAAACGTATACAAATAAATGTGGGGAGAAATATTTTTATCAGCAGGATAGGAGAAGACACGGTGTCCATATTTAGCTTGTTTGACTTTGGGGATAACAAGAAGGTGTTGATTCCCTGATCTGAGAGATCTAGATGGTGCATAAGCCTGAAGAAGATCTGAGAGTTAGACTGGAGCCGTGTTAGTCATGCACTGGTATGCGAGACAGAATAGTTTGAAGGAGATTCTTTGTTTCACGGGCAGCCAATGAAGGTCCTTTAGAGTTGGTGTGATGTGCTTTTTCTGGTGATCTGGGAGGTAATGCGAGCAGCTAAATTCTGTATGCATTGGAGTTGGTCAGTGACACAAGATGGAGATCCGGCCAAAAGGCTGTTACAGTAGTCCATACAAGATATGACTAGGCTGAGGCAGAGAGTTTTTGAGGCATCTTTGGTAAGAACGGTCTGGCCTTTGATATTGTGGAGATGGGAGTAGCAAGTTTTAGTAACATATTTGACGTGTTCTGTCATACTTAGATCTTGATCGATGACAACATCCAGATCGTTGACAGTGGAAGAAAGAGGAATGGTTGCTCCACAGACACACACAGTAGTAATGTCACACTGCTTGCGTTTTCCAGCCTGTCCCAAAAGAATGGACTCTGTTTTCTCTTAATTTAATTTCAAGGCATTTGATGACATCCATGAATATCTTCTGGCAACAGTCTGATGTCTGACAGAGAGACGCTCTATAGCTGACTCTGTGTTTGGTTGAAATAACTTCCACAGCTGCGTGTCATCTGCGTAGAAGTGGTCAAGATTAAGGTTTGCTACAACAAAGCCAAGTGGAACAGTGTAGAGGGTGAAGATGATCGGACCAAGCACGGATCCTTGAGGGACTCCGCACTCAAGCCTAGATGTGGTTGACACAGACTCACCAACAACAACGGTTTGAGTCCTGTCCTGTAGATAAGATGCCAGCCAGGATAAAGCTGAATCCAAGTTCTGTATCAAGTCTTTGAGGAGTCTCTGGTGATCAGTCGTGTCAAAGGCACTGCTTAGGCCAAGTAATGTGAGCAGGGCCACTTGTCCTGTGTCAATACCACATCGTAGGTCATTCGGGATCTTCAGCAGGGCCGTCTCTGTGCTGTGGTGTGCTCTGCAGGCTGATAGGAACACCTCATAGAGGTTATGCCAGGAAAGGTGGCCCATGAGACGACTGGAGACTGCACGTTCAATGAGTTTGGATATATATGCTAAGTTTGAAACAGGCCTGTAGTTTTTTTGATCCTCCTAATCAAGGCTTGATTTCTTCAGATGTGGCCTAACTAGAGCTGACTTGAGTACACTTGGGGCATAACCAGATGAAGTAGAAGAGTTAATAATCAGCACTAATGTTGGTAAATATCAGTGAAACTATCAATATGAGTAAGAGGCGTGCCATCAAACATTTTTGGAGGAATATCAGCTTCATCCATAGCCGCAGAAGACGAAATCTTGTCATGAATGTTCTTGGATCTTTTGGTAGAAATAATCCGAAAATGTCTGTGCTATTACTTCATTGTCATCAGATGTCGGAAGTGTCGATTCAAAGTGTTTACTCAAGATACTGAACAAAAGTTTGGACAGCAACTTTAGACTTGACTCGTTGGCTTCAATCTTAGAATTGAGATGTTGATTTGTCTGATGACCGTTGTTGAGTGATTTTTGGCTGAAATATGCATTTGGAGATGAATCTCCAGGAAAGATTGTTTTCCATCTGCGTTCTGCTTTCCTCTTGTCTTTTTTTCGCTTGTCGAACTTCAGGTGTGAAGTCCCAAGCAGATGTTTTAGTGACTGGTCACAAATTGTCTTTAAAAGTATCCATATCCAGGGAGCGCATGTTCCTACAGCGAGTAATCTTCACATTTGGACTGGGTATTGAGAGGTCCAAGCTCACAAATATATGGAAATTGTCAGAGAGCTGTAGATCCTATACAGGTACACAACTGACACACGCGTCTGAATCATGGGTAACTATCCAGTCCAGAGTGTGTCCACCTCTGTGGCTTGCCTCTGACACGAGTTGTACACAGTTGTGGACTTCAAGAAGATTAATTATTCGTTTAGTGTCATGGTTATCCTTGTTGTCAAAATGGAAATTGAAGTCGCCTACGATGATAATAGCTACTTCGTCAACTTATCCAGTCTGTGCCGAGACGGTGCCGAGCAGTAATTGCTGCCAATGGTGGCCATACAAAGAACTGACTTTGACGCCACCTTGTGGACTCAAGAGAACAGAAACACAACAGTAAAGGCTTTGTCTATAGACGTTTGAATTTTCACCTTTTTACCATTGGGATTACATGAAATAATAGCTCTTAAACTAATGCAAGAAATTCTTCTAAAAAATGGCTTGTGCGTTTCTTTTTTTTGAAGAGTATATTTCTGGGTCGCAGTTTCATGTAAAGACCTCTTCTATAGTTGATAAACAGGGTAAAAAGTATATTCCTTTTTCATATTGTACTAGTTCTATACAAAATATATGCCTTGTGAAGAAATGGGTTTTTTATTCATCATTAAAACTTTTAGAGCTAAAAATGACTCTTTAATGTAAATTTAAGACTAAAATCAAACTAAAAAGATCTGGTGACTTACAGCATATGAGAAATATATTCCGTAACCAAATATGCATGGTATTTGATATTAAAACTATTGTTTTGTTCTGAGTTTTTTGCAACTTTTTCAGTTCCCGGTTAAATTTTGGCGGCCATCTTGGATTTTGAGCTAAAAATAGCTTTCGCATCAATATTCAGATTGGAACCAAACATTTTTTTAAACTCCTTTAACATATAAACACAAAAGAATATATGATTTGCTTTCATCAAAAACTTTCACGGAATCCCATAAGCTCCTTGACTAGCATTATACATGCGTATATGTCAGCTCCAGCCTGTGTACACCTGCCTAGGTTTCTTACTGTTGTATTTCTGTATACAGCTTGTGCTGTTTCAGAGTGATGTTAAACACAACTCGCCCACTCACCCCTTCGTCCTTTTGTGTATATATTTATACATTTTCTTCTAGTGTGCTTTAATGGGAGGATTTGTCTTTAGATTGGTTCGGTGTTAGTGTCTGAACTTTCCAGACATTCCACTTGTTCTTTTGTTCGCCATAGCAATTTGGGAACTGTTTTAAACAGATATCAAATGACATGTAGATATCATTGTAGTTCCCTTGTATTCTGATATGGACAGCATAATGTGCTGTTTGCTTCATTATTACTTACCATAGTTGAATCACAGCTCAGTCGTACTTCTATGTTTTCCCACATGTGGCTTTAGTCACAGGGATGTTATGTACCAGTAGGGCACTTTATGTCATTGAGTATTCGCATGTTCGCACCACGA